GGGGCCTGGTGGGCAGGGCCAGGCCTGGTGGTCTGGAGCTCGGACAGGATGGTGACAAGGTGCAGCTTCATTCCCTAATCAGCATCTGGACCTGAAAATACCCTGGAAACCTGAGCCCTGAGCTGTCAGCTCAGAGGTCGTTTATTCAACTGAACGTTCTCCCCTTTTCTGCTTGTTTTCTTATTCTCTTTGTTCCCATGGACCAGCTTTGTCCTCGGTTTCGGGCTAAGGAGACGGAGATTTCCTGCTTCGAGCGGCTGTTTCTCAGGGGTCTGCTCCTCACTCGCCAGTACCCTGCTTCTGAGAAGGTTCACTGTCACAGACAGAGGCCGGCCCTCTCGGTGTCCTGCCTGGAGGCAGAGGGAGCCTCAGGGCTGTAGGGGGACAGTGACCCCATGTGGGTGGGCTGCCGCCCTCCTTCCTGTCTGCTGTTGCGCCACACGGGGCTGGCAGCCCTGAGAGGCCTGGTCCTGCCCTCCCACGCATCGCGGGGCCGGGTGGGTGGCCCGTGACTGAGCCCGAAGGACCAGGGCGCTGCCTCCTCCTCGGCTGCCTCCCGGCACCCAGCTGCAGCCTGGCATGCAGTAGGCCCTCGACAATGATGGCTGAGAGGAAGGGATGTATGTGCTCAGCCCACACCTGCCCCGGTGGGTGTTCAAGGCCAAGTCCCCTGAAGGCAGCCTAGACTCAACCCCGAGGGCTTCCCTCGCTCCCTCCCGCTGGGCCTGTCCCCGCTCCCGCCTCTGGAGCAGGAGACTGGCCTGAGCACTGACCCTCGGTCCTGGTGTGGGAAGCACTGCCCAGCGCCCACACAGCAGCCACCTGGTGAGTATTTCTCACTCACCAGGGAGGCCCCTCACTCTTGCCCACCTGCCCCTCATGGAGCTGCTGTCTGGCTGACCTGCCCTGACAGGTTCCGATCCAGTGTCCTAGGACACCCACGGCCACCTGGTCACTCAGCCTCTCTGTGGCTTCCACGGCCTGGGGCCAGTGTGGTCACGCGCCCCCAGTGACCTGCAGGTGGGCCAGAGACGGTATGGCCCCCAGATCTGAGGACCGTCATGCTCCAGTGAGGCAGGTCCACGCCTGGCACTGCAGGACCCCGCACACCACCCCCACACCCTGCACACCTCAATACACCCACACACACCCCTGCACACAATTCAATACACCCCCACACCCTGCATACCTCAATACACCCACACACCCCCCGCACATACCTCAATACACCCACACACACCCCTGCGCACACCTCAATACACCCACACACGCCCCCGTGCACAATTCAATACACCCACACACACCCCCACACCCTGCACACCTCAATACACCCACACACACACCCGCACACACCTCAACACACCCACACACACCCCTGCGCACAATTCAATACCCCCACACACAATTCAATACACCCACACACGCCCCCGCACACACCTGAATACACCCACACACCCCCACACACACCTCAATACACCCACACACACCCCTGCGCACACCTCAATACACCCCACACACCCCTGCACACAATTCAACACACCCACACACACCCCCGCACACACACCTCAATACACCCCCACACCCCCCCGCACACACACCTCAATACACCCACACACACCCCCGCACACACACCTCAATACACCCACACACACCCCCGCACACACACCTCAATACACCCACACACACCCCCGCACACACACCTCAATACACCCACACACACCCCCGCACACACACCTCAATACACCCACACACACCCCCGCACACACACCTCAATACACCCACACACACCCCCGCACACACACCTCAATACACCCACACACACCCCTGCACACACCTCAATGCTCTCACACACATCTCTGTACATACCCTTAGTACACATCCCTGCACACAACTCGGCACACACCTCAGCACACACACACCTGCACACACCCCACACCCTCAGGACACACCCCGCACACACCCGGCACACACTCTGCCCACACCCCTGCCCACCCTCAAACACACACCCCGCACACACCCCTGCCTACCCTCAGCACACACACCCCCACACACACCTCAGCACACAGCCTCAGCACACAACCTCAGCACACAACCTCAGTACCCCCCGCACACACCCTGCACACACCTCTGCACACACACCCCCAAGTCCCCCAGCACACATCCCTGCACACACCCCTGCACACACCCCCACATCCTCAGTACACACCCCTGCACACACCCCTGCCCACACCGCACACACACCCTCAGCACACACACCCCCCCACACACCTCTGCACACACCCCGCACATACACCCTGCACCGCTCTCCAGGCCCTGTCTGTGCCCTCAACCAACACCAGGGCCCCAGTCTGCACCGTGCCCGCCCTGCACAGCCTGTGCTGGAAACTGAACTCCCTTTGGTGCTGGCACCCAACAGGCCTCCTGCCCACAGCTCACTGCAGCAGGACCGGAGGAGCAGCTTCCCGGGGCCACTCCCTCCCACTGGCCTCCAGCTCCAGGTTATGGAGTTTCCCCTTTTCCCAAAACAGGGACCTCAGGTTTCTTCCCAAGACCAGCTCTTAGGCAGAGAACTCATGGACTCTGGTGTGGAGCTTCCTCCTTCCCTGCCTCTCCTCGCTGTGAAGCCACAGCGAGTTCACACACAGCACTTGGCTTAGCAGCGAGTTCACACACAGCACCTGGCTTAGCAGCGAGTTCACACACAGCACTTGGCTTAGCAGCGAGTTCACACACAGCACTTGGCTTAGCAGCGAGTTCACACACAGCACTTGGCTTAGCAGCGAGTTCACACACAGCACTTGGCTTAGCAGCGAGTTCACACACAGCACTTGGCTTAGCAGCGAGTTCACACACAGCACTTGGCTTAGCATCCCATTCACACACAGCACCTGGCTTAGCAGC